CCATGTTCTTGCATAAATTAGTTACAAAATATTTTTACATAAGGACATGGTAAGCCAAAAAAAAAAGAAAATGTAGCCTACCTCTGTAGAATCCGACGATATATCATCGCTACTTGGTACAAAGTCTTTGTCGGCACAACTGTCATCACTATCCTCAAAAAAATCAGAACTTGAACCGCTATTTCCACTAAAAACGGCCCTCAAATGAGCACGTGTACCGGAGGTCGACGCCATTGTGATATGGCTTACCACGTTTTACGCGACAAAATGGCGAAATTTGGCTGCCTGCAATAACACGATGCAGCGATCGCTCCGCCATCTATTGCCTTACAGTCGAATTAATTTTTTTGTGGCTTAACATAGTTTTCGCTGAGTGATTTATGCAATAAAACAGTTTCTGCCAAAGTTTGGCTTACCATTGTATTGCTCTAAGGTCTTCAATTATACAAATTTCCAAAGTATCGGGCCGTTTGTGATCTAGGTGCCTTTTTCGAGCAAGATTGACTGGTTTAAAAGCTGTTTCATTGGATATTATTTGAAATTAATAACTATTTTTTGAAATCATGACTAGAGATTATGGAAAGCTGTGTCATTGATATATATGTCTCAAATTGTATAGATTATTATTTTTTTAATTGTGGAAATATATTTCTGTCTTGTGGATATATATTTATTATAGTCCAAGAGCCTGCTGCAAATTTCGACCGTCATTTGATAACGAAATAATAAATGTTCCAAAGGCATGGCTAGAAACGGTTCCAGATGATTGAAAAATGACACTGTCCTGTGCGTTGATTTGCACTCAATTTCGCGATTTCATAATGAGAAAAGAAATATGCCATCTGATACCAATTGAACGGTAGATCTCTCTTCGATCGTATTTTGGCAACACTTTGTTATTTCAAGCATGACAGAGATTTTACTAACAGATATACAGTATCAAGTATCATCTATAAAGTCCATATCATATGAGAACAGGTTTATTATCACAGCATCGAATTTTTTTCTCTCGGCGATCCATTATGCATATCCAATAACTTGAAAATCGATTTTGACACATGTCACGTGATCACTGGTATGGTGATAAATAGAAATAATACTATAAAGCGACGAAAAGTGGGGTTAGATAACAAAATATCCATAAACATTTCTTATCAAGATGCTATTCCACATTCAGTTTCGAGCAATTTTCGGAGGAGAATTGGAAATAGCTATATTTTTTTCGAATATTCTTCAATTTTGTTACAATTCTCTTTCTTTTTCTGACAGTAGTGATGTTGATGATGTACAAGTGGAATAGAATTCAATTTCATGCTCACATATGGAGTTTCCAGCCATTATTTAAGAAAACTGAAAATAGCTATTTTTATTTTTTTTTAAATTACTTCATGTTCCCATCTAACTCCACTTTTTGCCATCATAGTTTTTTAAATTTACCACCATACCAGTGATCAAGTGACATGTGTCAAAATCGACTTTTGAGTAGTCAGACATGCATAATAGATCCCCGAGAAAAAATGTTTCGATATTCTACTAATTAACTTTTTCTCCATGTGTTACGAACTTTATGAATCTATTATTTTGTATTCTATCATCACTTTTAATTTTGTTTTGAAAAAATGACATGTTATATTATGATGTTATTCTACAAGATTTCTGAAGGGAATAGAAACATAGTTTTTTGTTTCTTTTTTTCTATTTCGCTTTGGGTGAATGACATTTGTTTTTTTTTTTTTTCAAATGAAGTAATTCAAAAAAGTCTGACTTAATTCAAAAAGTCGGACTTCAATGACTTTTTTATAAAAGTCATGACTCACTCCAACCCTGATTCAAACTGAGCCAAATTAGTAACAGAGCGTCGATATTTTGCCCCTCTCGAAAGATAATATCCGATGGACCAGTGTAAAACTCAACATGTGGATTTGAATACTTGTAGTGAGAGCACCACATGAGTTTCATACTGGTCCATCGGATATTATCTTTCGACAGGGGCGAAATATTCTCGGAATGACGGTCTGTCACTAACTTAGCTCAGTTTGAATCGCGGCACGTTTGGATATTCTCAAAGGGGACTTCATCTCCTTTCATTTGCTTCTTGTTTCAATCCATTATCACATGACGGAAGTATGCCAGGAATAACGGCAGCAAATAGATCGCTGTGTTGTGTATTTGGTATCGGATGGCAAATTTTTGCGAAATTGAGTGCAAATTAACGCACAGTAAAGTGCAATTTTTCAATTAGTTTGCTCAGGATAGCGATTGGCATAGGTGCCGTTCGATAAGATACAATGCTTATACATGCCTTTGGAACATATTTATAACATTTTGTTATCATATGACGGTTGAAATTTGCTGCTGGCTCTCCCACTTCTATTTTTTCGGTTTCAAGTAGGATCCATATGTGTATGATATATTTATGTACCTAGTGTATGAATTAGTAATTTTTTATATATTCTATATCACAGGTGTTTTTTCATAATGAACCAGCCTAGACTATTTGATCAATATTGCACTAAATACTCAGCATTTTTTTTCAGACTCATTCTATTCAAAATAGGTAATTTTTATTTATGTTTTGTATATTGCAAAAGAAATAGAATTTTTTACATACAAATTTTGTGTTTTTGTTATGAATCGCATACCTACCTTTCTTCGGCTGTTTTTTAACATTTTAAATGATACATTATATGTCATAGACTTACAGGGATGTTGCCGCTTCTACTAGAAGGTTGTAGCAACATTGATGTTTCGAATAGAACACCTGTATTTTATCGCATTTTTAGATTCTCTCTGAAGAGTTGATTTCATCGATATATCACACTTGGGGTCTATCGAAATGGTTACAGATATATTGGGTGTTCAAATTCGGTCAAATTTTCTCCACTTTTGGATTTTTTGTGTCGAAGCTGTTCATTATCAGTCAAAACGGCTCACATGTCCATATCTCAACTTTTGATCCACTATTTACTGATATTTAACAGATTCAGGGTGGTTCAAGATTCAGAATTCTGATCACCTTGTATCTGTTCCGATTAAATATCAGTAAATAGTACCTAAATCAAAAGTTAAGATAGGGACATGTGAGCCGTTTTGGCCGATAATGAATAGTTTCGACACAAACAAATCCTCTGAAGAAAAATCTCGATTTTGAACATCCTATCCAATTACTTTTTTAGACGAAGTCGTGCATTTTTCGATAAAATTAGAAAAAGCGGGGTCAAGGAAAAAACGAACTTATTTTTCGGTGGTTTTTTTTCTCCGTGCTCTTTATTTCTAACATTTTAACACCTTAACTAGTGTAACGGGGGAATTCCCACCTTTCCATCGATGTATATAAGTCATACCTTTGATATCCCGGGAAAAAAACAGTATATCTAAATGTACACGCTATAATTTATTACTTTCGTTCCTCCGTTGTTCGCCGCGTGTGTGTTCTACGTGGCGCAGCAGAATTCCTCTTTCACATGAACTTTGAATCATGAGAAAATATGCAATTTTAACAAAGTTATTGAATAATTTGTCCCCCCGCCGATGTGTAAATACACGGACTGTGCTCTCCGGCATATACAACACAGATGCTCATTATTCGAGGTGCGCTTCGTGCCGTTTTTCTCGAAACCGGGCGAATTTTCGAGAAAAATGATAAGGACCATTTTTGTAGAAAATTAACTGAACTTCAATTTTTATCGGAATCGAAAATCTCCAACTGCCATATTTTAGGAGATATTGGCTGAAAACCTATTTTCCTGGTCTTTTGGGGCCATTTTCTCCGCCATCGCACGCGTTTTCCAGTCAAACTTTGTCTCATGTTTAATGAGGTACCAAAAGCTACTTCCAACCGGAAGATGAAAATAGTGCGTAATTAACGTTAACTTTGCCTTTTTTTCCTCCTTCATTTATTGGACTAATAGGTCAATAAATATTTAACAATATCAAATTATCACAAGGGAAAAATTGTCTCATTAAGAAATGAGACAAGTATTTAATTCATAGTTCAGTCAATGAACGGGTTGTAGAGGACAGGAGGGAAGTAAAAATTCTAAGTCCTCGAACTTACAAGGTGAGTCAAGTGCAGGGGGCGACATAAAATGTTCCTTTCTTTGGTTTATCGTTCTAATCTCAACCAAAAGTCATTCAAAATTGTAGCTAATAAAATTTTCACTCATAATCCCCCTAGGGAATGAATTATTTCCCTCAATTAATTCATGCACGTGGGGGATTCGATAAAAAAAATTTATAACGGAATTATATTAAAAGAGAAAACTTCAAGTCAATATTTACTCTCCCTTTACCCTAGTAAAATTAAAATGTTTAGTATCAGATACATGATTATATGAAAATAATAATTGATTTCATATAATTTTCTTTCATGTGCCAGAGAATTTACAAAAAATGTGCTGGTTACCATAGTAATAATGTGGAAATAAAGCATCTGATTGATTGAAAATGACTGGTATAAAATTTACAACAACATTGTATCAGTAGGTTTTTTCCTATCTTCAATATTTATCGAGAGAATTTGCTAGTAAGTCATGTAAATTTAATTTTTCGGAACTGAAAAGTTTCCATGAAAAATATGAATAGTTAGTGAATTGGATGTCGATTTCAAAATCAAAGTGATTTTCAACCTATTTTTTCTCCTAACACTTTTTCATAATATATCCTAGGTACTTATGTAATTATTAAGAAACCTGAAGGAACTAAAGGTCCTACGCTACACTAATCTGGGGTTCTGCAATTTCATTTTCTACTATATCCTGACATGTTAAACACCTGTGATAGACTGGGGTTCCTGGCTTAAAGAGAGAAGAATACGAATTTTAATGGAAATACGCATATTTTGTTATGGGAAATATGAATCATAATTATATAAATGTGATATAGTTCAGTAAAGGTATTAAGAAGAAAACTACTTCAAGTAGGCTGTAGGCTGTAGGGTAACATTCTCAAACAATAGTTACATTGAAAGACAGTAAAAAAGTAGAAATGAGACAAATATAAAAAAATAGAAAGTATATTTAGCCCACATAATTATTCTCAAACCTTCCAGAAACACAACTTAAAATCATCGCCAACACATACCAAAGGGAACCTGTAGTGCCAACAGACATTTGTAGGCAAACTCACAGCAGCGGTCAGTTTAACAGTCTGACTTTTAACGTGGATTATTTTCAAATTGCTGTCTAGGCTATTCACAGCAGCTACCAGCTCTCCTTGTGGCGAAAATTTAATGTGGCCCCCATTTTCAGTGAAAACTATGTTATTATGAAGAGGTAAACTGAAAATTTACACCCATTAGGAAAATTAATCACTCTGATGAATGACTAGTGTTCAAAGAGCAATGCAATCAGGGGTAATAAATACCATGAGAGCTGATTCAGCCAAATATGGTTGCTGTGTGTAAGGTATATTTTTTCATATTCAAACATTTTTCAACCCTTTTCACAGGGCAGAAATGGCGTCACAAACATTATTTTTTCCACAAAGATACCATTTTTTTATCATATCAAATTTTTTCCATCCAAAGTTTGTTTTCGTCGACCTCTCCAAAAAAATCACATCTTACGTTCTAATTTCCGGAAGCAAAACGGACCATTTTCGAATGCAAGTACTTTTCGTCCGCAGACACAAACTTTTTCTCCGCTGCATTGTTGCCAGTTTTACTGAATTATCAGTAGATCTCCTGATTTGCATATTGATCTACTGATCTATGAAACTCTTCATGATGAAAAATATTTTGACACTTATTTATTATTGTAATTACCTATATCATTATTATTCTTCAGTTAATCACATACACTTATAAATTGCATGATATTTCGGCACGCTCTGTTAATAGTACAAAATGAGTAATAAATCTATAATACCGGGTGACACAGAGGTTATCGGGCCACCCCTGTAACTTCTGCATTCGTCAACGGATTTTTCTGAAATTCGGTACAGTTATTTAAGCAACTATTTCGGATTTGATCACATTACAATCCAATATGGCAGACTTCCGCTTTTTCTGGAAATGCCAGCAATTTTGTTTTTTCAAATGGAACACCCTGTATATTTTTACATATTCAAGTTCAACAGGTCAAAACAAGTGCAATCTTGATGTCAAATGTCATTTATTCCACAGCCTACCTAGTTGAAAAATTATTCTAACTGCAAGGAAATTCATAAACTAGTTGTTGATTTTTGAATGTATACAATTTGTTACTGCACCGAAAAACAAAAATGATATGTCATTTTGTTCCTTAATGTATGTCCTAGAGAGACGGGTCGGTGGCCCATAGGGGTTCCATTTGAAATAAAATAATTTTTGATCGAAAAGTGATGTGGCTGAATTGATTCCTGGATAAGTGACACAAAAAATAATTTTTCAGAAAAAATTATGTTCTTCTGTTATGTGTGACTCATTGTGAATAGTCTTGACCACATCTCATTTATCCACGAGGTAAAATGAAAAAACAATTTTAATTTAAATTTTTCCGGAAAAATGACATTTGAAATAGAGATTGCACTTGTTTCGACCTGTTGAACTTGAATATGTAAAAATATACAGGGTGTTTCATTTGAAAAAACAAAGTTTCTGGCATTTCCAGAAATACCGGAAGTCCGCCATATTGGATCGTAATGTGATCAAATCCGAAATGATTGCTTATATAACTGTACCGAATTTCAGAAAATTCCGTTGACGAATGCAGAAGTTACAGGGGTGGCCCGATACCCTGTGTCACCCGGTATATATAGGTACTAATGATATGTATAAACCAAAAAAGAACAATATTTTATCTGATTCAGGTCAGATTCAATTTTTTATATACCTCTGTTATAACAGTATCATTTTTTTATTTGTTTCGTATTTTTGTTGTTCATTTTTACTATTTTATAAACTCAAATCTCATAAGTACCTATGTAACTGTATTTTGTGAGTATTTTTGAATTGAGAATAGGCGAGTTAACAATTTTTTTTATTTCTTAAATAGAAACATCACTTTCAATTTCATATTTTTTTAGAATTTTTTGGTCGATTTTTAGGTGCTAATATCATAATCAATAATGCCACGGTAATTTTCGAATGTCTAGAAATTTACAGCGAGTAAAATATGATATGAAATATGATTGGAAACTTCAGAAATATTAGTTATTCAAACATTCATGAATGCCCAATTAGGTATTGGCAATATTCCTATTTAGCAATACAAAATCAATTGTCTCGAAATGTTGTGGCTTATTGCTTATAATATACACTTGTGTAAATAATTAATTCACACTAGAGGGCATTTGAAGCGGTGAATGTGACAACACGGCGCGCATGACTTGTGGGCGTGGTCTTGTCCCGTCTCAGCATTCAACACAATTAATGTTGCCAAGTCTTCAACATTTACATGATACTTTGTTATGTAGTATAAGAAATATTTGGACATGCTGGTTGCTCGAAAAAATCGAGAATGAACTATTTATATCATGGGTTCCTCCTATTATGTTTCATTTAACAACAGGACTCTTACATCTTTTTGATAACTTGATTATAATTGGTGAATTGACAACCTTGCTTCGCGAGTGGAAATGAATGAAAAATTATCTGACCAATAAACAGACGGCATACAAGCTGATGTCACCATTTATTCGACGTATCGCCAAATGGTGGCCATGATGGTACGTTTGAAATGAGCTGAAACAACGCATGGACTCATTATTTTCATAAAAAAGTGTGAGGAGTGTTGAAAAAATGTATTTAGGTTCCTAACAACACAGTGGAGTAATTGCATGCCAATAAATCATTATAATTCCACTAGCCCATTAGGATTATGATTATTTTTTATGAGGATATTTGTTTTGTTTGTATTTATTTTGATGGAAATATTTATTTTCCTACTTTAGTTAATATATACAGACAGAGTATCATTTTCAACCAATATTTTGCCCCTTTATAGCATTTTCCAGAGATGTCGGGATTCCATAGCTGCTGGCGAGCAGTGTTATCACTGGAGATGATTCCACTTGATCCTCGAGTGTATCATTGGCATCTCTCTCACCACTGCAAATGTCGTAATCCTACCTCAATGATTATTCCGGAAGATACAGAGGTGCAACCATGAGAAATGTGACACACTGAGTATATTTTTGCGAATATTTCTGAAGTTTTCAAAGAAAAAGGTAGGGTAATATATATATTTGGATATGGAATGCCTAGGACTATCCAACTGTGCCAAAATATACGGGGTGTTCCATTGGAAAAAAAATAATTGACTGTCGTATCTTCTTGATCTCACCCTATATACAATTTCTGATGATGCCAATGGATTCTACCGTTACTTCTACGCATAATTCTATATGGATAAAAATTTGAAATTTTTCAATATCTCTCTCCATAAAGTAGGTACTCAGAAAATATAAACAAAATCTGCAATTTTTCAATTTCCCCCTGTATGTCTGAAACGAATGAAGATATCAAAATTCCAATTGTACCATTCCAGGTTCCTCCAAAATCGAACCCGTAACATGTATATCGATTTTTTGATGACTCCTTCAGTTACTGAGATAGCCTATGAAAACGACCAATTTTGCCCACCCTGTACATGATGTATTGACGTCATAGGTTTATTTCATTACCCTTTCTTAGAATTTTTGAAGCATAAAAGAGAACAACTGTCAATATGTCATTTGCTTTTGTCAAATAAAGTATGTCTTTGGTACATGAATAACTATTTTATCTTCATTTGGTTAAAAGCTATGGGACTTTGAAGTTGGTATTTTCAAATGAATCTCATCTGACCCCGCCTAATAAAAATCAAGTCCGCCGAGACACAGATTGTTTTGCAAACAATATGAATTGGGATGCATTTTGCATCTGATTAAAACTTAAAACCCGGCCGATAATTTTTCTGACGCCACTTCCGCCATTTTGAAAAGGGTTGAAAAATGTTTACACCTTCAGGTATTCAAATCCTCTCTGTCAAATTTGCATTTGCAATGTTTCCTTTACCTGTTATAAGCCAAGGGCGGGAAATTTGAATCACCCTGTTCATATCAAGACACATGGAAAATAAATTTGAAATCTTGCCAGTGAATTTTAAAGCACCCTGTATCCTGTATGTTTGTTTTATAAGGAAATCACCAGGAAAACCACCTTTAGCTCTTCAAGAAATGATGAATGAAGGTCAATGTGACTGATTCTTTTGATCATAAAAAAACATGCAAGACAAACTACTATTTGTATATTATTGGTGATTCTGTAGCCATCAAAATATTGTATTCCTATCAAAGGATGCAATAAATGTTATTTACATTTTTCTGTAACTGAAGATACTTACCATGGTTTGGTTAGGTCCCAAATCAGAAGTTCTCCAAGCTGCAATGATGCTATGAAATCTCTATCAGATGGAGCCCAGTGAGAACTTGATAAAGGTTTATTATAATCAATAGACAATACTGGTGTTTCACTTTCCACATTGTAGAATCTGATTACTCCTATTTTTTCTGCTACCATTAATTTGCAACTATCAGATCTATGCCAACACACATTCATACCTGAAAATCATGATGTAATTATGATGTACTAGTGCAGCTAAGGGGCAAAGCAGTAATCAAGCAAAAAGTGCCAACATTGTTGTTGTTGTATGTTGCTTGATACTCTGTATTGGTCAATTTAATCATTCTGGATTCTATTATTGATAGTGGATCAATGAACTTACCAGCTGAAGTGAGATTGAAAGTGCATTTTAGCTTGTATCCATCCACAGACCAAATTTGAACAGTGTTGTCATCACTGGTGGATGCTAGATAGTCATTCTCTGGGTCAAACATTGTGTCATTTATATAGCTAGCATGTTTGCCTATTACCTAGAATAATATGAATAGTATGGACATGTTTAAGGTGGATCTTCTTTTACCTACAAGGCATTTGCTATTTTCATCCAAATCACTACTAAAAATCCTGAGTTTGAAATCATTTCCAGCAGCACAAAACACAACTTGATTAGGTAAAGAAGTTAGGGACGTTTCTGGAGACATACTGATTGTGGTACATCTAGCTTGATGTGAAAACTCTGTGAGAACTTTAATGCATATCTTATCCTACAAAAACATTTCTTGAGGTAATGAATTTATGTTTTCACGTGGAAAAAAATTACACTAATATCAATGTGAACAAGAAGTATTTTTTCTCTGAATCCAACTAGTAGAACATCCTGGGACCATTCAAATGGCGAGAATTGAATGTACAAAATCTGTCCATGTTCTGTTAAGTCTTCAATAACACATGGCTCACTTGAATTTTTTTTCACAGCTTCTATCGAATCCATTTCGTTATTTATTCTTGTTCAAGTATGAACGGAATTTCAAAATTCAAAAACAAACCCACAACCCTAGCATTCAAACCAAACAACAAACAACATAACCACAAACTCCAGAACTTCAACCTTAAAAAAAATCATGAAAAACCAAAACATAGCAGAACATCATAACCATGAGAGCCACAGGCATAGGCGCCCACAGACTCAGTTCACTCAGTTGCTATGCAACTGGCAATACCCTAACGCAAATAACTAGTTGCATAAGCCATCCGCGGGATTTTCGTAAACTATTTGTTTAAACATTTTCCTTAATGTGAAACCCGTGTAATTCGTAACAATAATAAACAGAGCAGAGTGGGGAGGGGTCAAGAAAGAATGAATTGCAAACCGCAATTATTAGATTCGATATCTCGGTATAACTTTGAAAAATAGTTTTCCGCGAAATCATGAACGAGATAGAATCGTCAACCTACGCACAGAAAAAGAATAAGAATTATATAAAAAGTGATAGTACCTGGAGCGATCAGGTGTTGCTGAGGAATAGAAGAAAAGGGTCTCAAGTTTCAATATCTAGTGTCAGCAGTAATCAGTCTGATTCTAGTAATAGTGAATATGTTACTAAATTCGAAAGAAAAGCATCTTTGCAGGAGATTATTGAGAAAACCGCCGAGGAAAAAAGTTTGGTAAGTACTTCGCTCTCCTTGCAAATAACCCATTTATATCATCATTATAATGGCTAAAAATATGTAATTCATTCAATATCGTGTGATATTTCGATGATGAGTATAGAAAATTCAACCACGAATTCATATACCTGAGCTAAAAGATGTATATTTGATTATATGTACCTACTGTAGGTTTTTCATTGATTATCATAATGTGCGAAGATATAATTCCATGTTGACCTTTCCAATTTTTCATTATACAGCGTGTATCACTTTGAACGGCCCCCCTCGCAATATCAGAGCTATATATCAATTATATAGGTACAATTCGTAACAAATTTTGACCAGTACGAATATACATCAGTATGAACTGTTTTTCAGAGACGAACATCCTTTTAAACAGTGCCCTCTGTTTTTATTGAAATGAATGGAGGTCAATTTTTTATGAAATCATATTAATTAAGAGAACAAACTCAAAGTCTCGCTCCAAGTAAATTATAATCAAATAATATATGCTATATGCTACATGTTTCGACTCCTAGGAGTCATCATCAGGCTTGCTAGGTAGGAGGAGAAAGGAAACTATAAAATTGAGAACATAGTTCTTAAGGCTTTTAAGCCCAAAATAATTTCAAGTAACATTTTTGAATTTTGGTTTTCTGAACCCCCAAATAAACATTTTTCTAAGATGCTTCTTTTGGATCAGATAAACATTGTTTACAGCAAATGGCGCGGTTATGAATCATATTAAAAATTATTTGCGGAAAAACTAACTTCATATTGTTACCCATGCTTTCGAAACTCTATATGCAAAAATCACTTCATTTCGAATCAACAATAGGATCAAGCTTCATTTTTTCAGTTTTTGCCTCGCAAAAATGGTTGGTAATAATTCAGATTATCTGCAAACTTTGAAACGTTCAATATAGCTCCAGAAGGTATACGAAATCAGTCGTTGAAAAAAAAACAGGATATGAAAGCTCAAAGTAATCTCCACAACTTTAATAATGATGTAGTTATTCAAACGGGACATGTTTCGAGGATATCTTTTTCCGTTTCCGAGAAAATAATTACCCATACAACACGGGATATCCTATGGACGTCCAAATCATGTCCAATTCATGTCGGGATATCCTTGGACCTTTTTGGATATCCATAGGATATCCAAAATTCACCCGCGCGGATATAATCAATGTAATAAATTGTGAATATGAATTAAATTGATGAAAATTCAAATCTATGTGTGTACATAGTTATATTACTAGGAAATATATAATATATCGAATATGGAATTTTTCAACGTCTTCTTGGATATCCAATGGATATCCATGGGATATCCTGTATTGGAGCATTGAACCACGTCGTTGAACAATAACGCCCAGAATAACATAGAGATGTCGACAAAGTCGGCAGTGTCGGACTCACCAAACATATTTTGGATGTCCATGTGGGTCCCATATATTTAATAACAACTATATGGGTAACGTCCTATCCTTTCCTTGTTCAAAATTGAAGCCAGTTTTGAGAAACAAATGACAGTCTGCGAGACAATGAATAATCATACGTTCACTTGCCAGCTAACAGATGCGCATAGAACAGAGTAGAACTGATGTCGTTTATTGTGTTCGGCTCATGCGCCTTAGTATCAATTTGCCCGTAGACTGTCTTTTGTTATCAATTTTTTGGCTTCAATTCAGAGATCTTGTCACCCATATAGATGTTATTAGATATATGGTGGGTCCATGACGCGACACATATTATGTCTTCTTTGAAGAAAGAAGTTCCACGAAAAGAAGATGCCAGTAAAGATGACAACAGTATTTTATTTTTGCCATAAAAATTCTTCCATTTTACCAAATGATTTAATTTTTTTTATTTCACTGTTTTAGGATTTCTTTTATTAATTTTTTGTGTGCTGGTTGGATTTTTAGTCTATGTTCTGCTGTGTTATACATATTTTTTCTCACATTCTACCAGAATATATTATATTTGAGTTATTTGTACCTTTCTGGTCGAAGGACCTCGGTCGATGGCCTGTTGAGTATTAATTTATACTCAATAAAGTTCATTTATTATTATCATTATTGTACCTTTCCACAGAGATTTCCATTTTTTGACATGTTTTGGGTGATGTTTGATTTTATTTATCTTATTTTTTGTGTGTGCTGATTGGATTTCTAGTCTGTGTTTTTGCTGTGTTTTAATTTTTTTCTCATATTCTACCTTTATACAGTGCGTTCATAAAGTAACGCATAAATTCTATATATCTCTGTTATACACAGTATTTGCGAAAAAGCCTCAGACAGGTCGATTTTATTTTTCGATGACGCATTTTTACAATATACAGGATACGTATTTGAGTAAAATCTGAGTTGACAGTTTTTTCAAATGAAAACACCTGTATTTTATTGCATTTCACGATTCTCCCTGAAGAGCTGATTTGATCGATGTATCACACTTGGGGTCTAGCAGAAATGATTACAGAGATATTGTAGGTGAACTTCAGGAATGTTTTGTGTCGAAACTATTCGTTATTGGTCAAAACGGCTTTTATGTCCCTATCTCAACTCTTGATTTACTATCTACTGACATTTAATTGAAACAAATACAGGGTAATTCAGAATTCTGCACAACCCTGTATCTGTTTAAATTGAATATCAATTGATAGTAAATGAAAAGTTAAGATATATGTATAGGTATATGAAATCCGTTTTGAGCAATAATGAATAGTTTCGACACAAAAAATTCCTGAATAAGTTGAGAAATCTCGATTTTTCACCTACAAGACCCCAAGTGCGTGAAACATCGATCAAATGAGCTCTTCAGGGAGAATCATGAAATGCAATAAAATACAGGTGTTTTCATTCGAAAAAACTGTCAACTCAGATTTTTCTCAAATACGTATCATCCTGTCTGAGGCTTTTTCGCAAACATTGTATCACAGAGATATAGAATTTATGCGTTATACTTCTATGGACGCACTGTATACATTATATTAAGTTATTTGTCCCTTCCCACAATAAAGGATTTAATTTTTTTTGTGATCAATATATTGCAGGTAATGTTTAATTTCATTCTTTATTAAATATTATTATTATAATTATTGTTCATTATCATACCCAGTGAACCATTATCATAATATTTCAAACCATGAAATCAAATCATGGACATCCGAATGTCATCTGGAAATTAATTCAGGGATTATGGAAATGGACATCTAAATAGTATCCAAAGGATATCCTATGGACGACCAATGGATATCCTAGTCCGCCAACCTGGATGTCCATAGGATATCCTATATGAACACCCATGAAAACATAAGGGATATCTTATGGACGTCCATGAAGGATATCGTATGGACGTTCTTGAACGATGTTCTATGGACGTCATTGAAGGATATTTTATGGACGTCCGTGAAGGATATCCTATGGACGTACAAGTTGGTGGCCTCAGGACATCCATTGGACGTCCATGGGATATCCATTGGACGTCCATGGGATATCCATTGGACGTTATTTGGATGTCCATTGGATATCCAAAATATCCTGAATGGATATCCTATGGACATCCATCGGATGTCCATGTGTTGTATGGGTATTTACGTCCACAAAAATGCTTTTTAGATGTGCCTGCTTTTTCAGTCTCCATCCATACTGAATTTTGGCACCATGAAAGCTTATATGGGGTGTTATAAGTGAAAACAATTAATACTTCCAACTTCAACATATCATGTATCTTAAAAATGGAGCAAGTTAGTACACATGTTTATGTGAACTTTATCTGCTAGAAAGTCACAAAAAACACCCCTTGAATGTTTTCGGTGTTATTCAGATACACCGTGTCCTGTATAAGTATTTGTCCTAGTGTACCTAGCGAATTTTAGCGCACACCTCGCCGTGTTTGAAATAAATCACAAAATGACAAAAATAGTACAAAATAAATCAATTTTTGCAAAAAAATAGCTTTGATAACAAATTCACTGGTCAGGTACATTATACTTTTTCGATTAGTGTATCATTTTGAATTGAATTTTATCAAACAATTCGACCTCGAGAAACGAATTGAGACCAATAATTAATAAGTTAATATTGACAAGATTGAGTACTATTGCTCTACTTAGAATAAATGTTTCATTTTTTATTATTCTGAAGATTCGATCATTGATTCAGCATACCAATATTATTATCTGTGATAAAAATTGTATTCACTAGTTTTGAATAATTATAATATACTTATGTGACAGTAATGGAATAATAATAACGAAAATATAGGGTGGAACAGTAGATTCTACAAAGAGAGGCTTCAGTGAACATGGATTGAAAAATTACTCCTAAGGAACTACAAGCACGTCGTTAGAGTCAACCTTGATGATGGTTTCTACTATTATTTATTTGAGATAATATAATCAAATATTTTTATGCATATTCACTTTTCATACTGAATTCGGAAATGTTCGACTTAAAATACTTTTGTGCTTTTTTATTATCAACTATACAGGGTGAGTTGGGAGGAATGCACCAAACTTCAGGTGTGTATTGTGAACGTAAAAATAATTAAAAAACATAGTAAATATTCTGTTGATCATGGTCTCTTAATAAACCCAAATAAATCGCAAGCAATTTGTTTCGGTACTATAAGTCACTTATAGCCAAATGTAAATCTCAACAGACAGTACCTATCAGTGTTGATAAATGTAATCGTGGAGGTGAAAAATAATGTGAACTTGGGAATAATTTTTGATGAAAATCTTACATTTGGTCCACATATTCTCAACAAAATTCGTACTTGCTACTTCGAATACAGATCTTTGTGGAAATTTAGGAACATTCTGCCATTTCTGCTACCTTCTACTGAATGGAATCTATAACTAACTCACTTATAGTACCTACTCACACATATCGACTATTGTGCACCTGTCTACTATCATTTTCTTAATGATAAGATGCATAATAGACTGCAAGTAATGCAAAATAGCTGTTTGCGCTTTTCAAATAGGAATATTAACAGACGTGATCACA